CATATATTTCACACCCCAAGAATTTTCACAATATTACAACAATTTGAATTGTACATTGACGCCACACAAAAGTGGTGACTCTCATCTATCATTCGGGTGTGGGTTGATCATTTATAATAAAATATTCAATGACAATAATTGTTCTGCTTATAATATATTCTTACATTACACAAAACAAAAAAAATTGTCACCTGGCATACAAACAGTAAGCAAATGCTCATCAATGTACAAAATATGTACGGATAATAAATTAATGATTGTTACAACCGTGCGTGTTCCTTGATGTCTCACAAGTCTTTGACAGTGTTGGCATGAAGGGCTACTATTTAAGCTAAAAGCTTTTCTTCCCACACCATATTTCTTACTCATTAAATCTTACCTCACGGATCGCCACTTCCAAGTCAAGTTTGGCTCTTCCTTTTCAAATATTGAAAAAATTAGCGCAGGAGTCCCTCAAGGTGGCATTCTTTCACCTATACTATACAATGTATATGCAGCAGACCAACCTACCTCTCCAACAACATATGTAGCTGGATTTGCTGATGATAATGCAATTATATCAGTACATTAAGACCCTCACATCGCTTCTTTAAACCTTCAAAACCACCTTGACCTAATGTCTGTCTGGTATGATAAATGGCGAGTTCAAGTCAACCAATCAAAATCCATTCATACTACATTCACTCTTCGTCTCCCTCCCTGCCCAGAAGTCTTTCTTAACAACATACCAATCCCATCATCCCAATCGGTTAAGTACTTAGGCCTAACCTTTGACCGTCGCCTGACCTGGGGACCTCATATCAAAACTAAAAAACTCGCCCTAAACGAACGACTACGCTCAGTATAAACCACTAATATCTAACAAGCACACTAAACTTAACACCAAACTTCTTATATATAAATCATTAATCAAGCCCATGTGGACTTATGGCCTACAACTATGGGGCAGTGCAAAAATAACTAATGTAAATAAAATCCAAACCATTCAATATAAAATTTTAAGATTAATCACTAATGCCCCATTCCAACTACTCTCTGCACACAGATCTAAACATAAAAACAGTTCACGCTGATGCAATAACATAGGTATTACAAAAGATTCCATAACAGACTTCCATATCATCCTAATCCTCTTATATCCAATTTAGCTTCTCGCACAATTCCAGGCAACCCCACTCGACGACTAAAAAGAAATTGGTGTCGTGATTTACTAAATGAATAATCCAAATAATTTAAAAAAAATATATATATATAAATAAACATTATAGGTAGTGCCTTCACTGGTTGGCTTCTTCCCTCACGTTTTCATGTACAAAATATTTTATCACAGATTAACAGGTACAGGTACAGATTGTATATATCTTGTTAAAAATAAAAAATAAAAATTGTTACAACCTTTTTTTTAAATTCATTGGTTATTACAAAAAGGGTCACTATAGAACAAATTGATGAATAACTTAATGTTATTTATTCTCATAACATTCAAACAGTATTCACAAGTATATAATTTTGTAATAACAATAAACACTACAATTATATTGTAGGATTGTATAATTTCAATTATTTCAATCTATATTTTTAACATTATTCCACTTAGCTTTTTCATAATTAATAATTTGTACATACTATATTACATTACACTTCACTATCGTTTATTTTATTCACATACATAGTACCCAAATAAAACCCCAATAAGACCTAATATAAACTTTATAAAGACCAGGCATCACCATATTGATATATTATTACTCATTAATTTTTTCTTCACCTTTCTTTATCGTGTGTAGTTCTGTATACATACAGTTATCATATTAATATATGTGCAATAATCATTACACTGCAGTACTGCATATCATACAAAACAAATAACTAAATACAGGCTATAATATAATTTAATTATGTTACTTAAGCTTGAACATAATGACTGACATAGACTACTATATGACTGCATTGTTCCTATATAATATGTGCTCTACTGTAATTAAAAAATATATTTGTAGGAATATGAGTCAGTTATGTGCGGATGAAGAAGCCCGGGCTAGGAATGATCCCGCAGTGGCACCGAGAACAGTCAGTATGCATTTCGTCACCGACACAGCCAGAGACCAACGGCGTTACGGTCCAAACACCGCAGATGATATGTGACGATGGCCGACCGCCGAGAGACATCAATCTGGTCATGTACAACAGGAATCCAACCGACGCTCATCACCGGATGCAGACGTTATCTGCAGGATCACGTCACGCTGATCCAATGACCTATCCAGTGTTGTTCCCATACGGTGAATGTGGTTCGCAAGACAACATGGAGCAGCGCGGCAACCGCGTCAACGCGGTCCGCACACGGAATACTATCCGCGAGTATGCTTGCTAAGGATTGGCTATTCGTTACCAAGGAAACAACGACTTGCATAACAACCAGTTTAGTATATTACACAGCGCTGGATTTTTGTTACAGATGTACGTGTGCGATCTGTATGTTAGAATGGAATCGAACAATCTGAATTACATTATTTGGAATCAGGGTGCGCTCCTTGCAGAAGCGTATCGAGGCCTTGTGGACCACGTCAACCAACAGCTCCACTTGGACGTGCCGGCTAATCCCTTGGCTGTCGGCCGCAGGGTAATTTTACCTTCGACGTTCGTCGGGAGTCCCCGTTACAATAAAGGCTGTTATCACGATGCTATTTCCATTGTGCGAAAATTCGGTAAGCCTGATCTCTTCATTACTTTTACATGCAATCATCGGTGGCCGGAGATCACAGAAAACCTAGGGAGATACACACTGGCAAACGACAGGCCCGACCTGGTGGCCAGAGTTTTCCACGACAAACTCAAGGCTCTTATGCACGACATAACAGTCGGTAGGATTTTTGGTAATGTTAATGCTTATGTATACACTGTTGAATTCCAGAAACGCGGTTTGCCGCAAGCGCACATACTCATCATCTTAGGGGAGGACAGCAAGTTGCTCGACGCACAGGACGTCGACAACATTGTGTGCGCCTCCTTGCCAGACCCGGAGACTGATCGGCGTCTGTTTGACTGCGTGACGTCGCACATGATTCACGGACCGTGTGGTCCACTAAACCCCAACAGTCCATGTATGGTGGACAATAGTTGTTCAAAGAAATTTCCGAAACAGTACTGTGATGAGACGGTTTACGTCTCTGATGGCGGCTACCCCATGTACAGCCGTCCAAACAATGATCGTGTGGCTCTAATTAGTTTGTCGTTCCATACAACCCGTATCTTCTGGCCAAATATGACGCTCACATCAATGATGAGGTGTGCTCCGCCATTAAGAGCGTTAAGTACATTTATAAATATGTCTGCAAGGGACATGACGCAGCTACTTTGGCCTTACAGGACGGATACGAGGTGTTAAGGTAAGCAGATTCAATAACTTATTGTTTTCATACACAGAGTCTTAAGACTATTATAGCTTTCATTGTTATTCTAACATTGTATAAATTAATAATAAATACATTGACCATGTAGGTACATTTTTATAACCTTTTCATTTATACTTTGCTTAATGATTAAATGCTGTACAGAGATTAGATAAGATTTCAATTGTTCAGTTAGTAGTTAGCACTACACTTACCCGTACACCTACATAAAGATATGCACTAATATTTTACTACTTCACTTACATACACATAAGCTCATATATTTTGGAGTTTACAACTTTTTACAAACTGTTCTTTACCGTATATTATATTATATATTATACAACTATTTAAATTGTACACCGATAGCACAACAGACTGACTTAAATCTAAAATTTTGTTGAGGGGGTGGGGTGCTGGGTTGTATATATGTAATTCATTACTGATTAAATGATTAATGTACAACAGTTCTGTTCATACGTTTATACTGTATATCTACATAACTACATTAATTAACTTATTTTACAAAAGATTCCACTCAATGCATTTTAATGTGTTTAGGTATAATTAATAATTTGTTCACAACTTTGTTCTTAACTTATCAACTGTTGTTTAATATTTTATGATTTGCAAGTAGGTACTTAAGCCATAACTTGATTCATTTTTACTATTTAAATGTGCATAGGAAGGTATATTTAATAACTTCTACAGATTTAATTTTAAACTTCTAACAACGGTTACCTAACAGTTGTTTATTTAAATTTATAATTGATGAAATAAAAATAACAATCTCTTTACAGTACCTATGTATTTCAATAGCATTCCAGCAGACCCTATTGTGATCACCAATATACAATTTTTAATAACGATATCTTTACTTTCATTTAAATGTATACATTCGGTTGATACTGTTACGATAAATAGTGGACTGTATTGGAGTTGAACGATGATGGTAGGTACTTCGGAGTAGTATCAAAAAATAATGCGATTGGTTATAATTTCAATAACCGGGTTTCGGCCTACTATTTTAACCAAATTTCAGTAATTAAAAAACTTATGGTAAAAGGGCACAATAAGGTGCTGGCCAGCTAATGGGAAAATTACTTAAACTACGACTAACACAAAAAAATATAGTATAAAATAATACAAATCTATAATACAAAATATAAGAACCGTGACGGCGGCTGCAGTCCCGGTTGAACGGGTGATGGTGGGCAGGTAACGGTAGAAGTGTAAGCAGGTGACAGAAGACGGTAGACGGTGAACAAAATGACAGGTAGATGGTATGCGAATGACAGGTGACGGTGAAACAGGTAACAGGTGAGGATGGAAACGGTAACGATTTTACCCCGCTGGTAGGTACTTCTGGAACAACTACGGAGAAAAATTCACGCACCAAAAAGACGACAGCGTTCTACGTCGGCGGTTCTGTCACTGAAGAAAACAAAAACTGGTCTGTGTGGGTATACGGTATATTATCACCGATAAGGTCCGTCGGGACCAATGTAACGTATCGTATCGGTGGACCAATGTAACGGTGGGAAAAATGACGGCAGCTTTTATATAACGATATCTCAAACATACCGCCCACCTGAAGGCACCTGGACTTCACAATACGAGTGGTAAGCGACACAATTTTACCACCGGACGTTTGATCACCGTTCGATTTGCAGTTCGAACTGTAGCAACGCGTACAATCTTATCCTCTCCTGGGTGTACTTCCATCACCCGTGCAGTCTTCCAGGTAAGAGGTGGTGTCGGCTCTTTTATAATTACTAGGTCCCCAGGTTCAAGATTGCATTTGTCTTTGCCCCATTTTGAGCGAACTGAAATTGTGTGCAGATATTCTTTTGACCATCGATCCCAGAAATGTTTTTGTATGTGTTGCACAAGTGTCCATCGTTGTTGTAACGTAAGTCTAGGTCCCGGGTGTAGTGGATCTGGGACTGGGACAGTTACAAGGGGTTCCATCGTGAGAAAATGTCGGGCAGTGAGGGTTTGAAGATCGTTTGGATCTGACGACATAGCTCCTAATGGCCGTGAATTGAGAATTGCTTCTATGCGGTGTTCAGTTCTTCATAAGTCAATACCTGTTCCTGAATTGTACAGTGTAACAGGGTCTTGGCGGATTTAACGGCCGCTTCCCACAGCCCGCCCATATGCGGAGCAGCTGGGGGATTCAGGTGCCATTGGATGTGCACATTGCTTATACCCGCGGTTATTTCGGAGGAGCTGAGGAGCCGCTTGACGTCTTCCATGTAGTTTTTCGCTCCTACAAAGTTAGTTCCGCAATCACTGTACAGATTGGTGCATCTACCACGGCGACTGACGAAGCGGTTAAGAGCGGCCAGGAAGAGTGTTGTAGATAAATCACTTACCAGCTCTAAGTGTACTGCGCGAGTGGCCATGCAAACGAAAATACATAAATAACCCTTGGTTGTTTGTACACGTCGGAGTAAGGCAGCCTTTACCAAAAACGGTCCGGCGAAATCCACTCCTACATGTGTAAAAACCTTAGTTCCGACTAGTCGTGGTCGGGGTAAATCTCCCATGCTCGGTTGCATCGGTTTTGGTCTGGTGCGGAAATAGGGTATGCACTGGCGGAGATGTTTACGAATGGCGCCTCGGGCCGCTATTATCCAAAACTTTTGGTGCAAATTATTTTGGGTGGTTTGCGCCCCAGGATGACAATGCAGGCGGTGGATGTAATCAATGAGTAGGACAGTTAATGGAGATTGTTTTGGTAACAGGATGGGATGCTTTGTCTCATATGGAAGGTCAGAGGACCGGAGGCGACCGCCCACCCTGAGAAGACCCTCTTCCGAATCTAGATAAGTTCCAAGTAATAGCAGTTTATGGGTACAGGGCTCTCCTGACGTGAGACGTTTTAAATCCTCTGCGAAATGTACCTTTTGGACCCATCGGATTAGGGCGTGCAATGCTTCCTCCTTTTCCTTTGCTCCTGGTGGTTTGGAATGATCAAAGGAGATGGGTTGGTGTGTCAGATTTCTTCTAAATCGTAACCAATAGGCGGTGAGACGTAGAACTTTCGGAAGTTCTGCTGATGCATACAATAGTTGACATTCCTCTACGGGCTTAGTGATTAAAAGAGCAAGCTGTTTCTCCTCGACTTGATGTTCCATCTTATCCAGACACGTGATAGGTGTCACCGGAGGCCAGGTATTTGTTGGTTGGGTGAGAAATACTGAACCGCCCCGCCAAATCTGATAGTCCACTAGCTCTTTTGGGGTTACGCCTCGGGACGCACAGTCTGCAGGGTTATGTGCTGTAGGTACGTGTCTCCAAATCTTCGGGGACATCATGTGCTGAAATTTGGCAACTCGATTTGCCACAAACGTCTTGAGTTTTGCTGTAGGTGTCTGAATCCAAGCCAAGACTACGGTTGAATCGGACCATGCAGTCGTGGCTTCAATTGGAATGGCATTTAGGTTGGTACTGATATGTTCCAGGTAGCGAGCAAGTAATACCGCCCCACATAACTCAAGTCGTGGAATTGAAAGTCTTTTTTCCGGAGCCACCTTAGACTTTCCCATTAACAGTTGGCAGTGACTGATGCCATTTGGTTCTCGCGCTAACAGATAAACCGCGGCGGCGTAGGCGTTTTCTGAGCTATCGCAAAATCCGTGGATTTCATACGTAGCTCCAGGTGTAGTTGCTCGACGCCGTATCCGAATAGATCCAATTAGTGGCAATTCTTCGTGGTAATGTGTCCAAGCATCGATGGCATCGTCAGGTATTCTCTCATCCCACTCCACCCCAATTGACCACAAATACTTCATCAGTCGTTTGAGATTGGTAATGACTGGAGTGAGTAGGCCGATGGGGTCATAAATTCGGGCTATCTCCGAAAGAATAGCTCGTTTGGTAAAACGCACGGGATTCGGTCGGTATTGGTAGGACAACATATCCAGATTAGGTTCCCATTTTAGACCGAGAACCTTGGTGTAATCTGACTGCGGTTCATCGAAGGTAAAATTATCGGTTTTACGATGTTCAATCGGAACGGCCTCTAATAATGCGGGTGCATTTCTGGACCACTTTCGGAGCTCAAACTTCCCACGCTCAAATACTTTTATAACCTCTTGTTGGAGTTTGAGAGCCTCTTCTTCCGAGTCGGCTCCGGTAACGACATCGTCCACGTAGAGGTCTTGATATATGACCTTTTGCACATTAGGGTATGCTTTGGCTCCATCCTCAGCTAATTGATGTAATGTTCTAATTGCAAGGAATGGAGATGATCGTTGGCCAAATGTAACAGTGGACATTTCGTACGTCTGAACAGGGTCCGAGGGCTGGAATCGGAAAAGAAGGCGTTGGTATGGTCTATGTTTTGGAGTGACAAAAATCTGCCGGAACATCTGCTTGATATCGGTGGTGAACACTACTGCGTGCAAACGAAAGCGTAAAATGATTCCTGGTAGATCCTGTTGAAGTTTGGGCCCCATAAACAAGTAATCATTTAGCGATTTTCCATTTGAAGATAGGGCTGACGCATCGTAAACAACACGGAGTTTGGTAGTCGAACTTCCGGGTTTCACTACACCGTGGTGTGGTATGTAAAAAGATGTGTTATCAATGTCCTCAGTGTTGTCTACATAATTCATATGTCCGGAATCTAAATAATCTTGCATGGCCCCGTTATAATCCTGTCTATGCTCAGTGGATTTTGAAAGCCTAGATTCCAGATGTATGAGCCGTGTGTGTGCTAGATGGTATGATTCCCCAATAGGAGGTGGATCCTGGGTGAATGGCAGATGTACTATATATCGACCATCCGCCTGTCGAGTAGTAGTGGTACGATAGATCTCTTCGCATTTTTGTTCTGCTGGACTGGTCTTTTCCGCCGTAGGGAGCTCTTCAATTTCCCAAAACTTGCGCAGTATTTGGTCGATGGGGTCTATGGATGCGAAAAGTGAAGTCGTACTATTTGACGGATTTGGGGTTGACCGTCCCATGAGCACCCATCCAAAACGGTTTTAAGCGCCACAGGTTGATTGACGGTACCTTCTCGTCGATCTCCACTTATGATATAAGAAAAAACATCCGCTCCAAGGAGAATGTCTATCGGTAGTGGTTCGTCATATCGGGGATCGGCTAGGTCCAGACCCTGCACATGCGCCCACTCAGTCTTCACGACGCGTTCCGACGGAATGAGTCCGGTGATGCGAGGTAGTATGAAAGTCTCAACTGTGAAGAGAGGCGTGTCACGCCGTACGGGTCTAATGATAATTTGAGTACGTGCTTTTATCGGCGGTACCTGTAGGCCGGCCATAGCTTGCACAGCTACACTGCATTTATCCCGTGTCACCCCTAACCTGTTACGACAATGTTCAGTGAGGAAACTGCTTTGACTGCCGCTGTCTAAAAGCGCTCGCGCCTCTTGATATTGTCCACTACTATCCTGTACTAATACAGCCATCGTAGACATAAGTACACAGATGTTGACCCTCTTGTCGTATGAAAACATACTATTCACGGTGGTAGTGGGTTGGGGTTCCGTGGTATTCACTATGGTCGTTGGTTGAGCGTCTGAGGTATTTTCAAAATGCAATAGGGAATGATGTCGCCCCTTGCATTTCAAACATACTCGGGTGTGTTTACACTGACTCACTGGGTGCTCGCTAAAACACAAGAAACAACGCCTAAGGTCTTTAATTATTTGGTACCGATCCTTTGGTGTTTTCTCTTTGAATACCGTGCAAGCAATCAACAGGTGACCAGGTGTTGTATTGCAGACCTGACAGGTGAATTGCCTTCTATTCTCACGTGAGTCTGGCTTTCCGGCATGCAACGTGACAGTTTTCCCATATGGTTTTTTATTTGGTTTTTCCTGTTCTTTGCCAGATTGGCCAGCGATAGCAGCATTGCAAAATTTTGATAAGAACATGGTAAAGTTGTTCATACTTGGATCATCCGCGGTATCTACTATTAATTCCCATTGAGCACGAAGTTGAGAGTCCAACTTTAATTCAAATAAATGTAGCAAGATTGGGTCCCATTGATCCACGGAGTAATTTTGGTTTGCGAGCGCTCCAACCGACTCCGTGATCGTGTTCAGCATCTGGCGCAAAGATTTAGCATCACCGAACATTGCTTTTGGCATCGTCCAAAGTTGGTTCAAGTGACTCTGTGCAATTATCCGACGGTTTGCATAGCGTTTGTCCAAAACTGTTAGCGCTAGAGTGTAGTTATCGTCACTTAGCATCAAATTGGATATAAGCGCTAACGGCTCGCCTTCCAGGTAACTTTTTAAATAGCTGAACTTAAGAACAGGTGGCAGGTTAGTATTGTTGTGTACCGCAATGTCAAACAAATTTCTAAAACTGGTAAATTGTTTCGGATCTCCTCCAAACCTCGGTATTGATAGCTTTTCCAGTGGTATCACATCGCGTCTATCTCGGTTTTGAGATGTACTGATAAAGGTTTCGTCGGCATTCGGATGTTGAAGTAAAACTGGTATATGCTCATCTGCCGCAATCATCACTTCAAAATACACTTCGTCAAACTTATCACGAATGTCCTCAGGTGAAGTGATATCTACTTCGGACTTTTGGTCTTTTTCCGGTTTCCCGAGTTGTTTTATTACAACCGACAGCTGTTCCTCGAATTCCTCCTTAATCCGCGGAACGGTGGCATACATCATTCGAAACTTGGTTTTGTCCGACCTGGTGACCGGTATCTTGTTTAGCGCATCTCCAGCGTCTCGTACTCGCATAATTCGTTTCTGAATGTCCGAGAGGCGAATTTTTGCTTCTTCAAAAACACCCATGACGCTATATTCCCCTCCACAAAAACGTACGCGCAATTCAAGCCAGTAGGTACAACCAAGAATATACCAAAATAACAAAGCAGTTAAACTATATATCTTTTTTTTGTTATTTGAGATTTGCGTCACTCTGTATATGTATACGGTATGTAACTTTCCAGAAATAAGCTACTTTTTTAACCTTGACCTAGTTCTTGTGAAGACGACACCTCTTATCTACTACGCTATAATGGTCGTCACGGCAGCGTCGTACGCCTGCCGGTCAAAGTCCAAATTCTATACTATGCAACACTTCGTTAATTATAATAATGCAAATAACCCACTTTTTATTATATTTACAATAGTGCACATAAATCTCTGTATTTATGTTAATATTTAAATATTGGTGATTTTTCGGTAAAACACCGCTAGTAATATTTTCACTTAGAATAATATATTATATATATCCTAGGCTCGATGGACCAATGTTCCGATGAATAGTGGACTGTATTGGAGTTGAACGATGATGGTAGGTACTTCGGAGTAGTATCAAAAAATAATGCGATTGGTTATAATTTCAATAACCAGGTTGCGGCCTACTATTTTAACCAAATATTTTTAACCAATATTTTTAACCAAATATTTCAGTAATTAAAAAACTAATGGTAAAAGGGCACAATAAGGTGCTGGCCAGCTAATGGGAAAATTACTTAAACTACGACTAACACAAAAAAATATAGTATAAAATAATACAAATCTATAATACAAAATATAAGAACCGTGACGGCGGCTGCAGTCCCGGTTGAACGGGTGATGGTGGGCAGGTAACGGTAGAAGTGTAAGCAGGTGACAGAAGACGGTAGACGGTGAACAAAATGACAGGTAGATGGTATGCGAATGACAGGTGACGGTGAAACAGGTAACAGGTGAGGATGGAAACGGTAACGATTTTACCCCGCTGGTAGGTACTTCTGGAACAACTACGGAGAAAAATTCACGCACCAAAAAGACGACAGCGTTCTACGTCGGCGGTTCTGTCACTGAAGAAAACAAAAACTGGTCTGTGTGGGTATACGGTATATTATCACCGATAAGGTCCGTCGGGACCAATGTAACGTATCGTATCGGTGGACCAATGTAACGGTGGGAAAAATTACGGCAGCTTTTATATAACGATATCACAAACAGATACAGTTACTATATTCAGTCAACTTCAATATTGTTTAAATTTAAATTAATATTTTCAACTTCATTGCTTCATTTTTTTTATACAATTAGTGCCAATCAATGAAAAACTATTAATATATATTTGTGATGACCTCATTGTATAAACATAAAATGTATAACATTATTGTTTTTATTATATTACACTGAATTAATTTTGATTTCAGTTACACCAACTCGTGGTATGTCGGCCCGCCTGAAGCCATTTGGAGGTTGTTTGCGTATGAGATACACAACAAAAGTCACACAATCGTAAGACTTCCGGTCCACCTGGAAGACAATCAGACCTTGTACTTTGCTCCCAGACGTGCTGAAGAACGGTTAGACGATGATAACCAACGTCGTACTAAACTAACAGAATTTTTCAGACTCAACACAAACAGCGAGGTGGCAAGGCAGTACCTGTACCACGAGATACCGGTACATTACAGTTGGCAACAACCTAGCAGGACATGGTCGCCACGTAGACATCAAATGGCCAACGAGACGTTGTCTCGGATTTATATCGTCAGCCCAATGGATCAGCACCGTTTCCACCTGCGACTGTTACTTCTGCACCGGAGAGGCCCACGGTCTTTCCGAGACATAAGAACGGTCGATGGGATAGTGCATGAGACATACGGGGCTGCGGCAATTGCACTGGGACTCATAGAAGACGACGAAGCGTGGCATGCGTGCATGCAAGAGTCTGCGACGTTGGACACTCCCGGCCAGCTTCGGTATCTCTTCGTCACGATACTGGTGCACTGCCAGGCTACGGAACCACTGAGGCTGTACACGAGCAACGAGGACAGTATGATGGAAGTCTTCAATCGGCGTTGGCAAGACGTTGACCGTGCGAGGGCATCGACTCTGAAGGCCATTGGAGACCTTCTGCGGGTACATGGTAAAACGCTCCACGACTACAATTTGCCCATCCCGGACGACCGTCTACTGGAACCAGAACTGGACAATCAACTGTTCCACGCGATAGACGTGGCAGCACAGTGGGCACCACAAGTGGACGCCCTGAACGCCCAACAGCGAACAGTGTTTGACCGTATCATGGTGGCTGTCGATGACGACCAGGACGTGGCAAAAACATTCTATGTCGATGGACCCGAAGGCACCGGAAAGACAACGCTTTACGGTTGCCTAAAATGGGCACTTCAAAACCAACGACCGCCACGGGAGGTATTGTGCGTGGCATTCACGGGGATCGCCGCGTCCCTCTGGGATAGTGCACTCGACGTTTGGATTGCCGTTTGGTACGCTGACTGACGACGATACATCAAACATCTCCTTGCAATCCATGCGCGCACAGAGGATACGTGATGCGGCGCTCATTGTCTGGGACGAATCGCCAATGTCTCCGGGAACACAGCTCACGGTGGTCGATCGCTTACTCAAGGACATCATGGGAAAACAAACAACGCCGTTCGGGGGCAAACCGTTCCTATTCGCGGGCGACTTCCGACAGATATTGCCCGTCGTCCGCAGGGACTTTTTTTACTGCAAAATACATTGAATTCCAGCGTATTTATTATTATAGGTACAGGGAACTTTAAATTACAGATCTCATATATTTTGTCAGAAGCTACCGAACTTCTGCTAAGAATGTTCCAAAATGCATTTAATTTAACAAACACAGATTTTGAAATTTTCTGATAAGTTGAGTCAGAAATTTTAGCTACATCACTAGTAGCAATTAAACTAAGAGTGTGAGCAGTGCAGGTTAGATGTTCAGGTAAACAAAAATCATCATCATCGTCATCACATTCAATATTTTCAGAATTTTAAAATAATGTTGATATTTCTACAATTTCAACATCTGCATTATCAACCTCACTGCCAGAGTCACTTATTTCAACATTAGATTCATCATCACTACTTTTGAACCAATCGTTATTAGAACTTTGAGCACTAAACTGAATTTTATTTGGGGTTTTTGAATGAATGGAAAATGTTCTGAACGCTTTTCCGAAATTTGAAGCATTATCGGTCACAGTATGCGATATTTTGGAATTGTTAATTTTAAAAGATTTGGTGATTTCATTCATAACCTGTGCTATATTCATGTAAGTATGACTGCCCTTTATGCGCCTACAACCAAGAACATACGAGTACCTGCTATAAGTATTTTCGTCGAGAAAGTGGCAAGTCATACCCAAATAACTTTTATTGTTACTAGACCATATGTCTGCTGTTATACAAATAAATGATACTTTTGATATTAAATCAGTTAACATAGTAACATAAGAAGTATAACTTAATTTTAACAATTTACTCAAATCTTTTGTATCAGGGAGTAAAGCTGTATCTGTTATTCCAGTAAGGCCCATTATTAATCTTCTAAATGCTGGTTTTTGGCAAGTTACCAATGGTCTCATTTCTTGGACTACATAATCAAAGACCAAGTTGTTGATCTAAAAGCAAATCATTTTAGGTAATTAAAACACTTGATCAATACAATTTTAAAGGCAATAGTTGAATTAACTAGAATTAACTTAAATTAAATCAATTTATTATAAAGACAGATAAGTATCAATTGACAATTATTATTTATTACTCTTTTAAAGATATTATGGAACAGTAAATAGTAATTAAATATTTGAAAAACAATTAACACTTAAAAACCTATGCACCTAATGTAAAAATAATTTTGAACTTAACTTTTTTACATTTCACAAGTGGTGAAATTTGAATAAGCGGTTTATGATAAAGATCACTCTGTATTATAATATAAATCAAACTTACTGTTTGTTTTGATATTTGCCTTTGGTGTGTGTACTGCGGTATTTTTTGTTGTTGGCTTCCAGAATATGATGGCTGTATATCTTTAAAGTCTACAACATTAATACTATAATTAATATACTACTAATTTTTAAGGCTCGTCATTAATGCAAGTAAATTATTTATGTTACATTATAAAATATAGGTAATAATATTTAATCTTTTTCTTTTATAATAATTATAAATAATAAATTAATTATAAATTATATTATATTATGTTTATAATTATTATAAAAGAAAAAGATTTTTTTTTTTAATACCTGTCCTACTTATTTAATAAATTAAATATTATTACCTATACACAATTATATTATATTATTATATATCATGTATACAGTATACTTAAGGCGCTATTATACTACATCCGTTATCCACATTATAAATATAGTTAACATTATAAATACACGCTATATTACTATTCTATAGTAATTTCCATAAAGATAATAAAAAAAGTTTGTATTTACTCACTTGAACTAGCATTATTAATTTTCTTTTTTTCATCTTTTCTTATTTTCAATTTGGATAATATTGATGAATGCTTCTTCTAAAATATAATAATTAATAGGTTGGGTTAGATAACATACAAATTTAAAATCAACTTAATTTACACAAAATATATTTAGTATCTAGGTACATACCTTAATATGACTTAGAAAATTGCCAGTAGAATTTATTTGACCGTTTATTGGTTTTTTACACAATTGGCATTCAGCTATTAATTTATCGTCAACACATGAAGTAATTTTATAATAATAACCATCAAACAAGTAATGCTTTGATAATTTTACAGTAACGGATGATGCAGCTGATACATTATTTTCTTCAACATCAATCAAACCAGACTTTATAGCACTAGGTTCCTCAATAGTCTCTTCAATAGGTTCATAGATTATAGTTGATTTTTTATTTTTTTTGGGGGATAAAGAGTTTTTCGAAACATCAAACATCGGTGTCAAAAAACGCTTCATATTAAAATTATTATAAGTATATAATTTAAATAGGTAGTTAATTTAATAAAAACTGCGTAGTAAAAACAACTTGCAAAAAACTAAAAAGTACGAAATACGAAATACGATATGCTAAATATACGATCATCACTCGTTCTTAACGATACTGCACGACCATAGACAAGTATAAGAACTAAGAAGTATTAAGAACACTTGACTGACGACTAGGTACGACACTATTTAGACTATGGACATTATGGAGTAGGTACAATTATTGAACAATGTCTGTGTCTCCACATAAATTGGACTCTAGGATTAGTATACTTGTCTATGATTGGACTGCATAAAAAACATGATAGAAACTTATTATCAGGATAAAAATAACAAAGGAAATAATTATTAATGGATTACAAAAATAGACTATTTTCAGAAACCACTGCGTGCCCGCGACCCGCGTAGTCCAACTCGGCGGAGTAATGTCGGCTTGAATTATATATATATAATATATATATATATATATTAGCTTATCAGTTATCGCCTATGTGACTTGTTAATAATTGTTGTGGTACAATTATTGTATAAATAATATACGGCTAGAAAATCCTGAGGATGAATATAATATTACATAATATTACTAACTCAACCAAAAATAACCCATTAACTATTAACTAATATACGAATTACGATTTACGATTATTAAAACAAAATATAAGAATAAAAAATACTATAATCTCAGCAAAAATACAGACATTATCTAGATAAAATTATCTAGATAAGTAAAAAATGTATCTTAGATAATTAATTAGATAACTTGGCATTATTTGTCTAGATAAGATAAAAGATGACTAAAAATCTATCTAGATAATTTATCTAGAGAAATTTATCTAGATAAGTCCCAACACTGCTGATACCTGACACCGTACGGCTCGTACGAAAAGAAAACCAACCAAGGACGCAAACAGCCATGCACACTCTTGAAGAAGAAACCCACAATGAAGAATTGCAGATACACCTTGACAACACAGTGCAACAAGCCATCGAAAAGGAAATCCCAGCTGAACCAGATGAAAAACCCCTCAGTAAGCGCGCAAGAAAGGAAATGAAGTGGGTAGAGAACATCGGAAAAAATAGAAGAAATGAGTAAAATCATACTCCTGGATCTTGCTGGTCCTTCGTACAAACACACCTACAATGGAAAAGGTATCCATCTGTAGCAATCAGAAAAGTTTACATTGATTTTTTTTTATTCTCTTTCACATATATTAAAACAAAAAAAAATAAATAAATGTAAAAGGGGACAATGTAACGATGCAAGTAGGTAGAGAAAGACAGTTCTGGCGCCTCATCCTGCTGGCAATTTCCTATACCCGTCTGCTCATCCCACTACACCGTCTGCTCATCCCACTATACCCGTCTGCTCATCCCACTACACTATCTGCTCATCCCACTATACCCGTCTGCTCATCCCAATACACCGACTGCTCATCCCACTATACCCGTCTGCTCAACCCACTATACCTGTCTGCTCAACCCACTATACACGGACTGCTCATCCCACTATACCGTCTGCTCATCCCTATACATTGACGGCTGCTGAACCCACCATATATCACACACGTTAACGATGTACCCCCGCCACCCCACCACCTATGACTACTGCGCGTGGAAAATAATTTAAAAATTTATCCGCCGGACCGGGATTCGAACCCGGTTCCCTTGCATGATAAGCGACCACCGTACCATCGGGCCGCCTACTCGCATGTGTTTGAGAAGATATATTCTATCTCATTTAACCGACGTTCGCTTACGTACGCGAGGTATAATTTCCCCCGCCACTATACCATACCAAGAACCGCCGGGAACGCGCGCGCGAGCCCTCCGGTGCGTTATCACAGTGACTTTAACACAAAATAATCTACTGGTATATTTTTAACATTTTGTAGCTATCAAATACACCGAGACGGGTCTATTATAGCAATTTATTGAGCCCAGAGGAAACAGTTGACATAAAATTATGTTAAGTTCTAAAAAACATTTCTTTACACAGCATGTATATGATGACCCTACCTTACTACGTTATATACGACAATTTAAAAAATGTGACATTTGTGGGCGTCGCTTTCAGGTATGGACTAGTATGGACGAGTTAGTAAAAATCCATGGTTCTAGATATTATGAAGATGTATTAGGTACAGCAGAATGTAGGGAAGTAGCTGTTAAAATATTTAATATAGTACAAAATTTGTAGATAAATTAACGATGTATATACAGGTACTAATAAACGCTTCTATACAGCGTTATTTTTTTTTCCCTTACGTATAACATTCTTCTTTCTACAATATTTGCACCTATTTATAATATATATTTTATACACCACCTTCATATAGCTAACTATATCTCGTTAAACCATATGATGTATACCACACAACTGATACTACATGCTACAAGTTTGTTGAGCAGAGGCTGGAAATCTTCCTCCGCATATAACTATGTATATAGTGATAATGTAAAAATTTGCTTGATTACGATAGTTCATAGACA